TTTGTTAAGACATGTAAGTGTGTTTTGGTATGGGAAGAGCTGAATAAAAAGTTATTAAGCTCAGAGCTTAATTGTGCAGGTTTTGTACTTCAAGCACATAGGGTGGTCAAGTATTTTTTTTCTTAGTCTTTCACATCTCAAAACTACGTACATTACACAAGCATGTTCACCTCGAATTCATACTTTTTATTTAAGTATGTCAAACAATATTTAAAGTTTTCACATGCACAATACATAAAGAAATCAATTTTGTTGCAATTGAAGTCTGATTATTTTAGTAATGTTGACCTGACAGCCCTGTCTGTGGGCGACCTTAGCTTGCGTTTGAAGGTCAAAATATTACATTTCAGCAGCGCAGGAAAACCTATCCTACTTACATTATATTTTACAATAAAATTTAACCAGTCTGCAAGTTCATCTACTGGAAAAGAAAGAATGTCTTTACAATACAGAATTAAATATAAAAGCCTCAATTAAATCTGTTGTCTAATTAGATTCATACCTAAGCACTTGACTGGCAAATGAGGATCAGCAACACAGTAGCACAGGGGAAAATGGGGAAAGCAATTATCTACAAGCTAAAGAGTTACTGTTAATATAAGAGAGAAACAAGTCTTGTATCAAACCTAAACAAGTAGGGATTTAGACTTCCTCAAAATCATTCAAGCTCTCAAGATATCAAAGTAACTACTGAAAGCAATTTGGGATTCTTTTGAGGGGGAAAACAAAATTATGAACCAGGAAAGCAAGCCCTGAAGTCTTGGCACTGATTATTTGTTGAAAGTTCCCATATGTTGCTCAAGGTCCAATTAAGACTGTATACATGGAGTTGCAATTAAATTACAGAAATGTCTATGTGCTGTGCTCCCTCCTGCCTCTGATCTGCCAGCAAGAAAGAAGGGAACGCTGATGGAAAATCAGTAGGTGGTCTTTGGCGAAGACTACATTTCATACTCGTCAGTACCTTTATTTGGACTGCAATATATGGAATAATTATTTTAAATCTTCTTCTCCTACAAGCTGTTGATAAGGATGATTCTTCACAAGTAGCAACACTGGTTAGGTACAGTGGCAAGATGTTAAGAATTTTAGACATACACGGTTTATCTTGCGGGGGAGCAGAGTGGTACAAGAACGATTGGCTAGATTATAACCTGGTTGGAATAAGTGACTGACTGTTTAAGTCGTAAACTAAATAGCCAATTTTAACTTAGAAGCAGTGATTGGGACAAGGAAGGAATACAAAGGGTCACTTGATTTCAAGGAAAGGTAATTAGAAGGGAATGAAGTACAAGTTCTTGCAGGCTGAGGGGACGAGAATGGGGACTGCAGGGTGGATGAGTGATTGACCAGAGCACTGTCATATAGGGAGCCATTCAAGTCGAGAGGCAAAAGGAATGTAGCAGATGTAGGGGACTGTATAATTTGGACGATAGATAGTGTTTTCTGCAGCTGTGAGCAACAGTCTCTAAGTCTGCATTACCTGCCTGATGCCAGGGTTGAGAACATCTCCTCGGGAACTTGGAATGGGAGGTGAGGGATCAATTTGTCATTGTCCACATTGGTATCAACGACATTGACAGGATACAAAGGAGGTTTAGTTGAAAGATTTTGAACAGTTAGGAGCAAAATTAAAAAGCAGAAACTCCAAATTAATAATCTTGGAATTACTACTTGAGCCAAGGGTAAATGGGCAAAAGGTTAATAAAGTCAAGGCATTAAATGCATGGCTCAAATATTGGTGTGGGAGGAATGAGTTTTAATTCATGGGGCACTGGCTCCAGAAGGGTAGAAGGGAGTTGCTCTGCTAGAATAGGCTTCGCTTGAACCATTCTGGCACCAGCAATCTGGCAAAGCAAATAATCAGATTTGTAGAGAGGGCCACAACTAACTGAGGAAAGGCAGCAGGTTTGAAAGGGGGGAGAAGGTTAGTTCTGAAGACGGGATAAGTAGAATTACAAAACAAAGAGATACAGTGGCATTGCAGGGCAGCAATTCAGGTAATGATACCCAGAGTGGGACAGAAAGGGATAGTGTACAAATATTTTAAAATGTAACAAAAATGGCCCAGGCCTGTTTTTGTGCTGGGAATGGGAATGGTGTGTGGAGGCAAAAAGGCAAAATTAATGGTTCTTCACATAAAAACACCTAGTATTCAGACCAAACTAAATGAATTAATGGTGCAAATAGAGGTTACTGGATATGATCTTATAGCCACCACGGAGACACAGTTACAAGATCAAAGCTGGGAACTAAAAATTTTGAGGATGTGACTTTTCAGAAAGACAGAGGAATGAAAGAGTAGCTTTGTTGTTTCTGGTTGGAATAAGTGTGATAGCAAGAAAAGATACTGGATGAAAGATGTAAAATCTACATCAAGTACTGCGTGCTTCCAATCTACTTGGAATATTGCGTAGCGTTCTGGTCACCACACTACCAGAAGGATGTGGATGTTTTGGTGAGGATACAGAAAAGGTTTACGAGGATGTTGCCTGCTATGGGGGATTTTAGCTATGAAGAAAGGTTGGATAGACTGGGTTTGTTTTCACTGGAATACAGAAGGTTGAGGGGCGATCTGATAGAAGTTTATAAAATTGTGAATGGCATGGATAGGGTGGAAAGTAAGAAGTTTTTTCCCAGGAGGAGGGGTCAATTTCTTGGGGACACAGGTCCGGTTTGGGGGGAGTGGTGGGGTGGGGGGAGGGGGGGTGCATGGGGAGTTTGAGAGATGTGCGAGGCACGTTTTCTAGGAGAATGCCTGGAATGCGCTGCCAAAGGTGGTGGCAGAAGCAGACACAAAAAGCAACATTCAAGAAACACCTGGACGAACGCATGAATAGGAACGGAATAGAAGGATACAGATCTCGTAAATGACGACAATTTTAACACGGAAGGGCAAAATGTGTCAGCGCAGGCTTGAAGGGCCAAAGGGCTTGTTCCTGTGCTCTTATGCTCCGAAGTAAGAAATAACAAAGGGGAAAAGACACTGGTGGGAATAGTCTACAGACCTCCTTACAGTAGTTATACTGTAGGAAAGGGAATAAATTATGAGATAATGAGGACATGTAAAAAAGACAGTACAGTGCAGGAGTGTACAGTTTATATTAATGATCAGCAGAAAGGCATTCAGATGAATTCACTGAGAAGTATTTGCAAATATTTTTATATGAAAGAAACATTCTCAACAGTCGAAGCCATGAATTTGTGGATGTAAAATATGGAAATTATGACTGATGGCATGTGCAAAACCCTGTTCATGCGTAATTGATAACAAATGCTAAGACCAGGATTTGCCCCTCCAGAGAAGTGATGTGGAGTGGGCAAATAATCAGTTGGGTTGGAACCAAGGGAGAAACCTGTCCCTTTCCCATCAGCTCAGCAATTAAGTCTGGGACGCAGAGTCCATAGTCTACGTTTTGAAATTGTCACCAATTAAAGCCCTTAAGTGGTCAGTTAATACCACTTAAAGGCCCCATCCCGTCTGAGCTACAATTATTTCAGCACAAAATTAATTGAAGCTCCACGGTAGTCAATGGTTTCTCAGAGCTCGGCTCCTCAAAATTTCAGCTTGTGACCCACTCGGGATCCTGACCCCAAATTTGGCAAGCCCTGGCCTAGGACTTAGTGAGTGAAGACAGTAGTGTCCGAGAACCAGACCCCCACCCTGGTTTCAGAACCCTCGATCCCTCTCCCTATCCCTATTCCTTTCCCTTTCCCAGAAAGGCCCCAAAACAACACTTACCTAGCTTGTTGCTGATCCTCCATCACGGAGTCCTAATGTGGCTGAGTTTTTGAAATGCCAGCCTCTGACTGACTGGCAGTTCCAGTTAGGTAGGACTTCCTGGTACGGTTTTGTAATTCCAGTCAAAAGTCTACCAGCAGCCAATTAGCTGCCTTTTGACAATCAGTCAGGTAGGTTTTCAGACAAAATGCAAGTTTCCTTCCCACTAAACTTTCCGACTTTCATACTCAGTCAAAAATTTGGAAAATCCCAGCCAAAGGTAATTTAAAGTCAGGAGTCAAATAGTTAAACCGTTAAAAGGCAGTTTTCTTACTTTTGTAGGTAAAATGAATACAGGGTAGCGATTAAGATTTTTATAACTCGCTTTAAACAGATTGAGCAATCATTAGTTAAAGAAATGTTGCAAGTCTGCACACTGCAAGTCATCTTGAATTCCAGTAATAAAAATTCTCTCCTGCTGTCATGTTATGGGTTTGAAAGATCTGGATTCTTAGCTAAATAATTACCTCAGCCTTGTTAATCCTTTAAAAATTGTACAAGGTACTTTGAAAGCAGTTGTTCTGTTTAACAGAAAACAAACACTCCATTTTTAAATAAGTTGCAATTAACACTTCAGGGCATTGTTAACCCTCACAAATTTGTCTTAAAGAAGGGAACCATATGAAGGTGGCAATTTGAAAAAAAGCCTACACAGTGGTTAATGGAAAATGTCACACACTAAATGTAGTCTGTTAAGTATCATAGCGCACTACAGTTCTAGGTTATCCATAACTAACAGAAATGATGAGCAGATACGCTTCCACAGAAGGACATGAGAAACCTATGCCTTGAAATATACTCATTTCAGAAGCTCAATAATTAGTTTTAAGCCACCTGCAAGTGATAAAAATCAGGAAACAGGGTATTAAATGCTCGTTAAAAATGAGATGTACAAATTTACCAATGAGAATTGAATTACAAGTCAACAGAGGTCAGATGATGAAAAGATAGAAAAAACATTTATTTAAACAATGAATTAAGTTGGGAGGAGATATATCCTACAGCTATATAATTGTAGAAGTGTACATTTATTTGTGAAGGACACTTCTGACAAAGTGGTAGCGTCCCTACTTCTGGGCCAAAAGGCCTGGGTCCAAGTCTCACCTACTCTAATGACATCTCTGAACAGGTTGATTTGAAAATATCTCCATTTACTTATGTATGTACATGTACATAGATGTGGCTTAAATACGCCAAAGTGAGGAGGAAAGCGGCTTACCAGTAATTTCAAAAAGTTTGTCAGGTAGAATGTTCAGTTTCGAAAATGTAGCAAGAGCGGTTATTTCTGATTGTTGATTCTCCTTGCATTCATCTGTGTTTATTTGATCTGCCCATAGGACGGCTTTCTCTCCACGTACAAGGCGCTCCAACTCATTGAATTGTGTTACTGTCTCTGCAGTTGCAAGGTTAGCTTCTTTCAGCGTATAAAACTGTTTACGTACAATCTGCAGTAGAGTAGTCACTAACCTAAGATTGAGAAAAATGTGGCAATCAGTTTCATTACTCAGCTGAAGTGACAATCAGCTCTTTCAGAACCCCCTCACTCTCTTCCCAGGAGGCTAGGATTTAAATCTCTGGAACACAGTTTGCTGTTGATCAGATTCTCCAATAATCTGAAAACCGTTGCCAGTATTTTGGCATTCACCACTCACCATGATAGGGAATTCAACTGCAGCTCACTCCTCACTTTTTGTAAGCAGTCACCAGCCAATCAAGGTTATACAGTTGACTGCTTACATCTTGAAATGACATGATGCTGGCATGTGGTTTCCCTTTTCATTATGGTCCCTTTGGTTTTTTGCTTAAACAATTTTACATTTAATCTCTCATGTATTTAACTTAATTACTTGATAGGATTTTACATTTATTTTATCCCCGTTCCCTTCAATCTGTACTTTTTTCATCAGTAATATCCTCCCCTTTAAGAGAGGCCACACCCAGAATATTAACACATTCATCCTTTTTAATGCTGCTTGACAAGCGTTTGCAGCAGTGTTGTTTCCTTTTCAGAGTTACAACAACTATAGCTTTTCCTCCCACACAGTATTTTACAGTATTTACAATCTGATTATGTTCAGAGTACCATTTAATGGGCATATTTTGAGCTAACATTAAAGAATAGACTTTCAGGAAAGGACTGTCTGGTTTGGACTGTACCTAATCCATATCCTTGCCGATATCAAACAGAAATTGACAGAAAATACTGATCACACCCAGCAACACAGTTAGGTTCTGAAAACAGCAAAGAGAGATTGGGTCACTAAGGAATTAATCAGTCTCAAATTTCAAAAGGTGATAGAGATCATTTTTGGGGGCAGTGCTCTCTGCTTCCTTTCAGGGTATTACTGATTGAGGTATTAGCATGGACTTCAGAGCGAAATAGAAATCAGATTGGGTCACTGTGTTCTTTCTAATTGCGTTGTTTGACTTTGCTGCAAAACTTCGGCCCAGTGGCTGGTGTTCTTTACTGGGAAGAGATGTTGGGAATTTGCCACCCTCTCAAATAAAGGATGACTGCCAAGTTGGAGCCTTTACAAGTGATTCAGTTAAGGAAAAATCAAACAATAGAATGTACAACTAATTGTAATGCCTCGGAGTGGGGTTCAATGTTTTAACGAAGATCTGTAGCTCGGATTGTGGTTGGAGTTGTTGGTTGGTTCGCTGAGCTGACTGGTTTCATGCAAACGTTTTGTCTCCCTTCTAGGTGACATCGTAAGTGCTGTGTAGCCTCTACTGAAGTGCTATTGTTCTGTCCTGCTCTGAATCTATATGAATTTACTAGACCTATGCCTTATCACACACTTTGTCTTCAATCGCCAGGTACATGAACAAATTAATGGAACATCCATGGGTTCACCCATCTCGGGGCTCATAGCGGAAGCTATTATGCAAAGACCAGAATGCACAACCGTCCCCCAGATCCAGGCTAAATTATGGGTTCGATACGTGGACGATACCTTCGTGATCAGTAAACGAGCAAGGTTAGAAGAAACACACCACCTCATTAACAACATATTCACCGGGATCAAGTTCACCAGGGAAGAAGAGAACAACAATCAACTCCCGTTTCTAGACATGATGGTGGAACGAATGAACAACGGGGATTTCCTTACCAGCATGTACAGAAAGACTACACACACAGACCAAATCCTGAATTACAACAGTAACCACCCCAGCGTCCACAAACAGGGCTGTGTCAAGATTCTGTTTAAATGAGCGATAACACTGCAACACCCCAGAGCTGTGCAATACACTCATTTCAATACACTTCCACATAGCAAGACATCAATTTGACTCAGACAAAGTTACAGTACTCGGACAAGCGAGATGAAGACAAGCATGAGAATTCCGGGAGGCCTGGTTGTTGACCACTGATGTGGCAATTAACAAACATGTTTAAATAGACACCATCTACATACCATTACAGTACAAAACCAGAAACAAGACTGCCCACCATGACAGACTGGACCATATAAATTCAAAGCAGGTCAGAACAATGGTGCTTCAACGGAGGCTATACAGCGACAATGTCACCTCGAAGGGAGACGAAACGTTTGCATGAAAACCAGTCAGCTCGGTGAACCAACCAACAAATCCAGTGGAGTTTAACTCAAGTCTAGTATACTCAACAACAGATGAATTGCTTCAAACTTCTTGCCCCAGCCACAGTCACATGCTGGTTCACTAATGAGCTTTAGGGAAGGAAATCTGCTGTCCTTACCTAGTCTGGCCTACATGTGACTCCAGACCCACAGCAACTCAGTTCAAGGGCAATTTAGGGATGGACAATAAATATCAACCCTGCTGGTGACATCCATATCCCATGCAACAATAAAAGGAAAGCTTTTGATATTCATTTCCTAAGCAACATTCTGTATAGTAAAGGTCAGGATCAAGCTTGGGACTTCCTCATCCATACTAAATTAGTATGCCACATACTTCATGGTCATTCTGATTCATCCTTACTTTTCTGTCTGTCGACGGTCTCGATCCTGTAGTATCATCAGTTGGGTTATGTATTCGCTGTGTTGCTTTAAGCTGTTCAATTCAGTCTCTAATAGAAGTTTCTGCAAACTCAATTTCAAGACCTGTTCATCAAGAAATTTTGAAAGAAATTAATGCACTCGTCACCGTACCTTTCACTTTCTAGAAGCATAACTGCTTTCTGCAGCTTTCCTCTCATGCAGTCTACACACTTAAGCCTGGAGGACAGGAGTAATGGGACCAGGGTCTTCTCCATAACTAGAATCAGCACCTCAGAATTCACCTTATTACGGGGCACTTTTATCAACTTTCTGCTTGGTATGTCATTTAGCAACACAGAAGAAACCTGAACTCATGCAGCAGCAGGAGCCAAGTCTAAATAACAAACAAACAGTCACAGACTTAAATGTGGTGTAATGTGACTTGAAAGATTTCACAGTACCTCTAAGCCTTAGTCTGCCTCAATAGTGTTAACTTCCCCCAAAATTTCACGCCAACATGACTTTTCAACATTTTAAAGTAAAGCAATGGAACAGGAAACAATTAGTAAAATTTGTTTAACTCAAAGCGCCTGGAGGAAGAGGTATGACTCCAATTCAGCAGCAATTGATCCCTCTAATACCTGAGGCACTGATCGGCTTCTTCCATCTGAACTTATTGTATTCCCCATCTCAGACAGGAGGCTCCCATTCTCTTTGAGCTTTTCTTCGACTTGCTGCATCTGTTCCAGCAGATAGTCACGGCGCCTATTGGAGGATGCCTGGCTACGTTCAAATTTACAGGAAGCCTGTCCAGTTAGATGAACCAGAATTATTGCAGTCTGTAATGGATTCATTCACAAAATTCTGACATAACATTCTTAACCTCAAAAAAAGGCAAAATATCAAAACCATTCAATTAGAATTGCATTGCATTGCCTAAAACTTTGAAGTGCTTAGTGCAAGAGCTATTCTTTATTTTACTGTAACCATCAAGAATGAAAAAAGCCTGCATTTATATAGCACCTTTCAGAAAAACTTGTACTTACATACAGCACCTTTCATGTAATAAAACATTAACACTCTTCACAGAAGTACTATAAACTTGACACTGAGCAACAAGAGAAATTAGGGCAGATGACCAAAAGCTTGGTCAAAGCAGGTTTTAATTAGTGTTTTAAAAGAAGAGAAAAGTGAGCACCTTGGCAGATGAAGGGAAGGCCACTAATAGTGGAATGGCTAAATAATGAATGAAGTGACCAGAATTATGAGTAGTGATATCCTGGAGGATTGTAGTAGATTACAGTTAGGAATGGTAGAGACCATGGAGGGATTTGAAAACAAACAAACTGAGGTTTCACCTCAATTTCTACCAACGGCAGAAATTATGGTGGCATTTGACTTAATTCAAAGGATTTCTGGCTTGCTAAGTGTTTGGAGGGTTGAATGTGGAAGACTGGCCAGGAATGCATCAGAATATTCATATCGAGAATTAACAAAGGCACATGAGCTGAGACAGGATGATTTTTAAAAAAAATTAATTTGATTTATTATTTTCATATATACCTAGGTACAGTGAAAAGTTTTGTTTTGCGTGCAGTACAGGCACATCTTACCGTACAAAATGCGTTAGGGTAATAGAACAGAGTGAAGAATATAATGTTAAGGCTGCAAAGAAGGTGCACAAAGAATGAGATCAACATTAAATTTAAAATTTGAGGGGTCCAAAAAAATGGATGGAAAGTTGGCTTGCGTGATGTACTGGGCTGTGTTCACAACGTTCTGTAGTTTCTTACAGTTCTGGGCAGAGCAGTTGCTATACCAAACCGTGATGCATCCAGATAGAATGCTTACCAAGGTGCATCTATAAAAATTGGTAAGAGTTTTTATGGACAGGCCAAATTTTCTTAGCCTCCTAAGGAAGTAGAGGCCTTGTTGTGCTTTCTTGATCGTAGTATCAATGTGGGTAGACCAGGACAGATTGCTGGTGATCATCATTCCTAGGAACTTGATGCTCTTGACCATTTCCACCTCAACACCATTGATGTAGACAGAGGCGTGCCCTCCACCTTGTTTCCTGAAGTCAGTGACCAGCTCCTTTGTTTTGCTGATGTTGAGGGAGAGATTGTTACCTTTACACCATGCCACCAAGCACTCTATCTCTTTCCTGTATTTTGTCTCTTCATTGTTTGAGATCTGGCCTACAACAGTGGTGTTGTCAGCAAATTTGTAGATGGAGTTAGGACAGAATTTGGTCACACAGACATGAGTGCATACGGAGTATAGCAATAGGCTGAATACGCAGCCTTGCGAGGTGTTGAGGATTATCATGGAGGATTTGTTGTTTATTCTCACTAATTGTGGTCTGTGGGTCAGGAAGTCGAGGATCCGGTTGCAGAGGGCGGAGCAGAGACCTAGGTCTCCGAGTTTGGAGATTAGTTTTGTTGGAATTACAGTGTTGAAGGCAGGGCTGAAGTCAATAAGTAGGAGCCTGATGTAGGTATCCTTGTTATAAAGATGTTCAGCGGGGGTGCAGGGTGGGGGGTTGGCGGAGTGTAGCACCAGAAGCATGGTGTCTGCCACAGACCTGTTGTGATGATAGGCGAGCTGCAAGGGGTCAAAGCAGGCTGGGAGGCTAGAGTTGATATGATGGAGGTTGAAATATGTAGCCTTGGTGATGGTATGGCTACAAGTTTGGAAGCTCATCTTTGCTATCAAATATGACATTGAGGATCCAACAATCTGGTTTAATCTCAGATACTTACTTTGGACAACAATGTAAATATAATAGTATACTCAGAATGTTGTAAATCTTGAAGTTAATGAAAAGCTTTGAAATTGTAATTATTGTTGTAATATTAGAAAAACTGCATGGCAATTTGTACACAGCAAATTATCTGATTTCTGGTATTGCTTGTTAAAGAATATTGTCCAGGAGAGCTGTACTGCTCTTCTTTGAATAGTGCCATGGATCTTTTTACACTCAGCTGAGAAAAGAATAAAGGGAACTTTAGTTCAACGTCTCGTTTGAAAGACAGCACTTCCAGCTGTGTAGCATTTCATCAATGCCAATTAGATTTGTCATAACAATTTGATAGTGATCCAAGACAAGTACAGAAGCTAGTAGTCTCCTTTGCAACATTTTGTTTTACACATGGGATGTGGGCAATGCTGACTGGCTCAGCATTTATTGCCTGTGTTTGGTTACCCTTGAGAAGGCAGTGGTAATTTGCCTTCTTGAACTTGTTACAGTCCATGTGCTGTAGGTAGACCGACGATGCTGTTAGAGATAGAGTTTCAGGGTTTGACCCAGTGACACTGAAGGAACGACAATGTATTTCCAAGTCAGGATGGTGAGTGGCTTGGAGGGAAATTTGCAAATGATGATGCTCCCATGCATCTGTTGCTCTTGTCTTTCTAGATGGATGTGGTTGTGGGTTTGGAAGATGCTGTCAAAGGAGTTTTGGTGAATTTCTGTAGTGTCTTGTAGATTGCATATGCTGCACACACAAATTTTGCTGCAGTCCCTGCAGCAAGTAGGTATGCACGTGGATTATTTGTTTACTTTGGGCAATGTAATGCCTGGACGGGAAGGCATTCTATGGAGCAGCAAGAAACATGAAACAGATAAATTTTTTTTTGATAGCTATTCATCCAGCTTTTGTATTGTACTTATCTATTAGCTCTGACAAATCATGACTATCCAGAATTTAATTCAGACAGCAGCTGTGATGTTGGTTTAAAAGCTTACAGGATATGTATACCTACTAATTATAGCCATATTTCAGCATGGTATCCTTTTCCGCCAGCTGTGAATTACATATACTGATAGGCAGGTATCACAGGTATTTTAAATGAAATGAAGAGCACAATTTTGCTATTTGTTTTTTTCTAATTATTAAAAAGAAATGTACAGAGGCAAATGGGCTTGACCTCCAGTAATTTCTGTCATCCCCTTTGGGAAATTGTTTTCTCTCCCATCCGGTGCTCCCCCTGATAGAATGAGAGGCCTCACAGTTTTCTCAGACTGCAGGATTTTATTTTAATCACTGACTTCATTACCACCATCACCATTTTTAAGAGCTCCTAAACTCCTAACAATTATTTTACTGATAATTTTGTAGTTTCCTGAATACCTAAGTCTAAAGTCTGAGTGATCTGGAACAAAACTATCAACGGGAGCTATGATTATTATGTGAGGAGTATTTCAACTTACCTACAAAACAGCAAATCTTTCTCAACGTCCAAATCCAGTAATTATTTCATGAGTGACTAGTGACGATTCAGTGCAAAAATGTGAACAAATCTGTTTTGGTTAGAATTGTGGATTGACTTTATTCTGTCTCACAAGAACATAAAGAATAGAAGTTGGAGTAGATCATTCAGCTCCTCAAGCCTGCCCCACTTTTCTATAAGACCACGAATGATCTGCCCAGGCCTCAAATTCTTGCATGCCAGCTCATCATACCCCTCAACTCCCCATTATTTTAAAAATCTACTGAACTCCTCTTTAAATATTTTCAGTGATCCAGCCTCAATAACTCTCTGGGAGAGAGAATTCCAGACACTCACTACCTTCTGGGAGAAGAAATTCCTTTGCATTTCAGTTTTAAATGAGCGTCCCCTTATTCTGTAATTTTGTCCCCTACTTTGACATGGATTGGGAAAGGGGAAGGTTCAATAAAAACTGGATGTCCTTGCCCACCGGTCACTGAAAGTCAGCATGGAGGTACAGTAGTGCTGAAGAAAGCAAATGGTACGTTGGCCTTCAGGATTCAAGTACAGGAACAGGAATGTCTTGCTGCAATTGTACAGGGCCTCAGTGAAACCACACCTGGAGTACTGCATGCAATATTGGTCTCCTCATCGGAGGAAAGATGCGCTGGCTATGGAGGGAGTGCAACAAAGGTTTGCTAGACTGATTCCTGGGATGGCAAAACTAATGTATGACTGGACTGGTTAGATTATATTTGCTGGAATTTAGAAGAATATTCCTGATAAACCAGGGGTCACTGTCTAAAGATACAGAATAGGCCATTTAGGACTCAGCTGAGGAGAAATTCAATCACTCAAAGAGTGATGAGCCTGTAGACTTCTCCGCCACAGAAAGGTGTTGAGGTGGAAACATTGAATGTTTTCAAGAAGAGGAGATCAAAGGGTATAGGAGAAAGGTGGGAACGGGGGACTGAGTTGGATGATCAGCCATGATCATGTTGAATGACGGAGTAGGCCTGAAGGAAAAATGGCCTACACCTGCTCCTATTTTCTACATTTCCAAGTAATTTGCTATTTTGGTGACTAAATCAAAATACTTATACAAATGATTACTAGCACATTGCACCTGTCACAGTTGTAGCAATAGATTGAAAGAATCAAATCTGTTCAAAAGCTACTCAAAATTAATGACAAATATTAAAGAACAGAAGAGCTATTGTATTTAATTATTACATCCCAGCAAAGATATCCCAGCATATTGTTGCATAAACTGCCCAATTATCCAGTCATCTGATGATTCCACTTTAAAATGGAAAGTCTTACCTGTTCTAATCGCTGTTCAGTGCACAGTATTTTAATTCTCTCTTGGTCCCGTAATCGAAAGGATGTTTTCAGCTCCATTTCTTTTGCAAGCGCTTCTAAGTCAAAATAGCTCTTTTGAATCATTTGGCGGTCAGCAAAAACCTCCTGCAAAGACTTCACCCAGCTGGAAAGTGAGAAATGAAAAGAATAGTTTGGAACTGTTCTCAGAATGGTGAATTTGCTTAGCAACTTATGAGGAATTGTAGTTGATGAAATGATGGCTTGGCAAACTCAAAGATGCAAATGTTAAGGTAATTCGATAAGTATTAAATTACATATGGTATTACGCACATATTTATATAGGAGCGAGTAAAGGCCCTTTGCCTCTCAAGCCTGCCCCCACCCCCCACCTCCCAACTCCATTAAATAAGGTCATAATGATCAGCCTCAGGCGTCAAGTCTTCTTCAATGCCTGCTCATTGTAGACCTTAAATCCCTGGTATTTCAAAAATATATCTACCCCTTCTTTAAAGGCTTCTAATGACGTAGGTTTCACAACTCTCTGGTTTAGAGAATTCCAGAGATCTACTCCCCTCGGAAAAGAAATTCCACTGAATCTCAATTTTAAATGAGTGTCCCTTTATTCAGTCACTTTGTCCCCTAGTTCGAGATTTCCCACTGGTGGAGACATTTTCTCTACATCAACCCTGTCAACCCACCTCAGAATTTTGAATATTTTGATAAGATCACCCCTCATTCTTCTAGATTCTATTAAATAAAAGCCTAATTTGTTTAGCCATTCATGATAAGTCAACCACTTCATCACAGAAACAAAGTGACCAAACCTCTTTTGAATTGAATTGCCTCCAATGCCAGTATATGTTTTCTTAAATATGGGAGCACAATTATATATATTCCAACCTTTAAAAAGTACTTACATGAGCATTTAAAGAATCATAACATTCGAGGTTATGGGCCTGGTGCATGCAAGTGGGATAGTGCAAGTGGTAGTATATTTTTGGCAGTACAGCCTCTGCCTCTTCTGTACTGTATGATTCCATGATTCTTGTTACAAGACATCCCTAATTTTAAACTCCAATCCCTGAGCATCATAAGCCGAAATTCCATTTTTCGTCTTAATTAATTGCTGCACTTGCACGCTACTTTTTTGACTTTAATGCACAAGAACACCCAGATCCCTCTGCACTGCACATTTTTGAATACTCTCTCCATTTAAATAATAGTCTACCTTTTGGTTGTTCCTACCAAATTGCATGATTGCACACTTTCCTACATTAAACTTCATCTGACAAGTTTTTGCCCCCACACACAACTTATCTATATCCGCTTACAAAGTTTTTAATGTCCTCATCACAACATGCTCTCCCACATATTTTATGTTGCCAGCAAATTTGGATAGATTACATTCTGCTCATTCTCCAAGTCATTAACATAGATAGTGAGAGTGAGGTTCTAGGACCGATCCTTGTGACAATCCATTCGTTAAGTTTTTCCAACCTGAAAATAACCCATTAATTCCAACTCTGCCTTATGTGTATTAACCAATCTTCAATACATGCTACTAATATTACCCCTAATACAGTGTAGATCCTGTCCTGTGCAATAAGCTTTCATCTAGAAGCTTATAGGATGCCTTCTGGAAATCCAAATCTACCGGTTCTTCTTTATCAACACTGCTTGTTATAGCCTCAAAGAACTGTAGCAAATTTGTCAAACATGACATCCTTTTAATAAAATCATGCTGATTCTGGTTGCATTGAGCTTTTCTAAATGTTCTGCTATTTCTTCCTTGATAACGGAATCTAAAAATTTGCTAATGACAGATGTTAGGTTAACAGGCTTATAGTTTCCCGCTTTTTGTCTCCCTCCCTTCTTGAATAGGGGTGTCTTTAATGCTTTTCTAATCTGCTGGAAACGTCCTGGAATCCTGACAGTTCTGGAATATTTCAGCCAAGGCCTCCACAAACTCTGAAGCCATTTCCTTCTTCCCATTAGGACTTTGATTATCTGGTATCTTTGGATGTTTATAGTGTCCTCCACCATGAAGACCCAATACAAAATATCAGTCCCCATTAATTTGCCTGTTGTATCCTCCACTGTCCACACACTTACTTTAGAGGCTCTCTTTGTTTTTATATTACCTAAAGAAGCTCTTGTTATTTGTTTTTATATTTCTGGCCAATTTACTTTCTAACCAATTTTCACCCGCTTAATGAACTTTTTAGGCACTTGTTGCTGTTCCTGCTTTAGACAATTCTTTCTTCATGTTAGTGATTCCCTGTTAAGTTGAGAACAGTGGTTTGAGATCCGAGTTGCTTTGCCTCAAACTGAATTTGAAATTCTACCATGTTGTGATAACTGTCCCCTCGAGAATCCTTAACTACAAAATCTCTTATTAATCCTCTCTTATTACACATTACTAGATCTAAAATAGCCTGTTAACAGGTAGGTTCAACAACGTACTTGTCTAAGATGCAATCCCTTCTATGCTCTACAAATTAATCTTCCATGTTCCCTGGTCCATCTGAACTATCCAGTCAAAATGCAGATTAAAATCATCCATGACATTTGTAGTGCCCATCTTACATGCATCCAACTTTTCAGTTTATACTTTGTCCTATAGTGAGGCAACTGTAGATGCGTTGTGAGGCACTATCACCATGCTAGATGGGACAGACTTAAAACCAATCTAGCAACACAAGACTGGGCATCCATGAGGCACTGTGGGCCATCAACAGGAACAGATTTGTACTCCAGCACAATCTGCAACCTCATGGCCTGACATATCCCCCACTCAACCATTACCATGACAACCATGGTTCAATGGAGAATGCAGAAGGGCCTAACAAGGGGCAGCACTATGCATACCTAAAAATGAGGTGTCAACCTGGTGAACCTACCAAACAGGACTACTTATGTGCATAACAGTTTAAGTAGCAAGTGATAGAGCTAAGCAATTCCACAACTAACGGATCAATCTAAGCTCTGCAGTCCTACCACATCCAGTCAGAATGGTGGTAAACAATGCACTGTATGAGGCTGCTCCACAAATATCCCCATCCTCAATAGTGGAAGAGCCCAGCAAATCAGTGCAAAAAAGCATTTTCAGCAATCTTCAGCTGGAAGTACTGAGTCGATGATACATCTCAACCTCCTACAGTGGTCCCCAGCATCATAAATACCACTCTTCAGCCAATTTGATCCACTCTAGGTGATATCAAGAAATGGTTGGAGGCACTGGATACTGCAAAGGTTATGGGCCCTGACAACATTCCGGCAATAGTATTGAAGACTTGTGCTCCAAATCTTGCTGCAAACCTAGCCAAGCTCTTTCAGTACAATTACAACATTGGCACCCGCCCGACAATGTGGAAAATTGCCCAGGTATGTCCTGTACACAAAAAGTTGAACAAATTCAACCCAACCAATTAACGAGCAGCCCAGTCAGTCTACTCTCGATCATCAGTAAATTGAAGCAAAGTGTTCTCAGCAGTGCTATCAAACAGCAACAAAAACCTGTTCAGTGACACCCAGTTTGGATTCTGCCAGGGCTACTCAGCTTCTCATTACAGTTAAAAGTGGACAAGAGAGTTAAATTACAGAGGTGAGGTGGGAGAGACAGCCCTTGACAATCAAGGCAGCACGTGACAGAGTGTGGCATCAAACAGCCCTACCAAAACGGAATCAATAGGTATCAGGGCAAACTTTCCACTGGTTGGAGTCATACGTGGCACATAGGAAGGTGTTGTTTGTGGGAGGTCAGTCATCTCAGTTCCAGGACATCTCTGCAGGAGTTCCTCAGGGTAGTGTTCTAGGCCCAACAATCTTCAGCTGCTTCATCAATGGTTTTCCCTCCATCATAAGGTCAGAAATGGGGATGTTCACCAAGTGGGAATGATTGCACAATTTTCAGCATCATTTGCGACTTCTCATATACTGAAGCAGTCCATGTTCAATTGCAACAAGATCTGGACACTATCCAGGCTTTGGCTGAAAAGCGCCAAGTAACATTCACACCACACAAATGTCAGGCAATGACCATCTCCAACAACAGATAATCCAACTGCTAGCCCAGTTTGAGGCTACAATGAGATCAGACATAACCTTATTAAAAGGTGGAGCACACACAAGACCCCAAGTAGTTTAACCCTGCTCCTTGTTTATGTACTTGTATGCATTATTCCTGGTCTTCTTTGAATAAATCAAGCTATTTGAATGTATAATACTGGTTTTGCCAAAGCAGAATACATATAATTGTGAAATAGCGCAGTTTCTCATTAACTGCAGATAAAACCTGCAAGTAAAAGCAAGCACTTGAAGCATTGCGAGTTGCAGGAGCATAAATTATCAGTCATTAAGAAGTGGAGGATGTAACTGTCAAGTTCTATCATAGACCATTAGCACAATTACAACAATACCCACGTATTTGCACAAATTAGTTCAAACCTTGGACTCCCATCAACATTTTCAGTTCTTCCCTAGTTGACAAGCCAACTATAGTTGAGTTTAAAGGCAGAGCACCTACAAGAGTATTATCTCAGCCAAAAGTAATTCTTCAACACCTCTACAGGCAATTTACAAGCAGGGTAAGCCATTCCATTCGGAGCTCCACTCTGCTCTCCAGTTCTCTTTCTTTGTCCTTTCTTTTATTTCCCCTCCCTTGTTCTCTCTCCTTCTGTAGTAATTCTAACCCCCCACCCCTTTTAACTACCTACTAAGGAGACAGAAAGGAGCCAGGTTGTGGATGGGAAGGAGTTGTATTGTGACCCGGAACCACGTGGCGGGAGCTGAACATATGGATTGTAGCTGCAGCGATGGTAGATTGAGTGTGGGCTGGAGCGACGGCAGCAGATTAAGAGTGGGCCAGTGAAGCAGTTGGCGATAGCAGGCCAGCGAGGCAGACGAGAGTGGGACACTGGCGGTGGCATGGTGTGGGCTGGAAAGCCCAGAGCCGGACTGCGGCAGTGAAAGGAAAGTTGGACTCTCTTACGTTATCTCTTTTTTTCTTATCTTATTCTAAGTTAATGTGAATGGCACCATGTATGTACGCTAAAGGTACACACTTTTCACTGTATTTGTACATTGAATACACGTGACAATAAACGATTCAATTCAATTCAATTCCCTTCAATTCAATACAGAAGTGGTGCTGGTGTAGGCTGGGGAATGACTGAAATCACTTTCCCATGCTCTTAGTCAACATCATGGGCACTTGGGAGAAAAGCTGACAAAGGTCAATAATGTTTAAAATAAAACCGGGAGGTGCAAAGTTCCCTGAAGGGTGCATTTGCATTGTATCTGTAGCAGCTGTGCAAAGCAATGGAAGCTGCGAAAGTGTAGATGTATTTGAAGTCAGGACCTAACCTAATGCTGAAGAGAAAGCCTGTACAAACCCAAAACTACTTTGCAGTAATGCTAAACGTTTAAATGTATCTTTAACAGTCAAGTCTGCAGTCATTTGGAATGCTTAATGCAGACTTCAGCTGAATATTTTCAGTACCCAGCTAAGAATGGTGTATAAGGAAGAAAAGACATCAAGATTAGATGGTTGATTAATGAGTGCCCTTTTATCCCCCAAACTCTGAGGAATTGTTGACGCCAATTATAATAATTCACCTGTCTACATGCAGTCCCTTGAGGGGTTCCAAGGCCACTTCCAACTCCAAAATCAATCATCTTAACATTCTGCAGGAAAATAACTTCTTCACCTGGGCAATCTACTGCAACATTCTTTACATGCCTCAAACAACCAGAGTGCAATCACGTTTAGCACATGCCTACTCCCTCAGCAACTAGAGGTTTGATGCCTGCGAAATCAACACCTGTCAAATTGTTCGATGGATGAAACAAAAAAGGCTTCCCAACCATCAGAGCTAACATCAACAGAACAGCAGCAACAACTCATTTCCTCTTCCATATTTAAAGCTGTTAACAGTCTTGTCCTAAAAAGTTTCAATTGAAAAGTCCTTATGTATTAAAAATACAAGGTCTACAGTAGCCTTAGGAATCGTGATCCTGGGGGTCAGGACTCCTAAAACAGCTGTCTGAGTATCCCCATGCATTTGCTGCTAATACACTTCCACATGGTACAGGTGAATCTTAAGCACTGTCTGCAAGAATTTATGCAGTGTGTAGTCATGACTATGCCGATGCTTGCTTCACATATTAACTACTCACCCTACTACGGCTTAATGGTTAAAGAGATTATTACAGTGCTATGTTGACCTGAAATACACCAGCATTGAACTCCTTTCTCCATCAACTTTTATAGAAGCTATTGGTTGGATAAGATTTATGCCGATAGCTCCCAAAGCATTCTAAATATGAACTTTCTAGATTCACAGAGACTGGTTTGTAGAATGAACTATTTTCACTGAAGGTAATTCAGAATGACTGCATCTGTGAGGTTGGTACTCACTGATAACCAGCAAAGTTTACAATTCTACAATCAATGAAGAATGATATTTGTAGTTCAATTTCATAATCCAAATGGCTATCCTTTGTAGAAGTACAACAGCAAAATTAGAACTGTAGTTCAGCAGTAGTCACCACCTTCAGAAGGCAGCAAGAGTAGTGTGGGAAAGAAACACATTTAAAAAAATATTTGAAAATAGCCGTAATCCTTTACTTTCATAAAAAATGCAAATATTAAATTAGTAAAAACCCTATTTAAATAAAAGACAATCCTGATTTGTTTCAGTTCCCATTACCTTTGTTATTCACTACAGTGCTTTGTAGAATCAACTGCTTTATGTAAAGTATTTTGAATAATTCAAGAGACTATACTGGCTGCCCATATTCAATGCGAAATATTATTCAGAATATCTAAAACAAAACTCAGGCTTTCCTTTAAAGCAAAAAAAGAGAGTAGCATTCTTTTACATTTAATCCACAAAAATCATGTTATATTTTTATCCTTGTATTTAATTCAGATTAGGCGTAGCTGAACAGTCAAACCTAAATAAATTTAGATCATCCTTCCTTTTAAGCTGACCGAGATTGTCTGCATTTTCTAAACTCATATTCCTCCCTTTTTACCTCTTATTTAATGCACATCTACATACACTGTGTGCAATTTGCTTTCATTTGTTTCAATGGGGCTGAATTCCATGCAGGTAAGAGAATATGTAAACACTGAAAATTTAAAATAAAAGCAGAAACAGCTGGAAATACATTGAATATTGGAAGCTTTCAGACAAACCAGCAATAAATTGTAACTTTAATCCACCTTTTCTGATGCAGATGGAAGTGCACTGTTTTTTTTTCCAGATTTTACCCCCTCTTTTGATGAGCACAGTTTTGAACTATCTACAATTCATTTTGAATTTCCTTCAGTGCCAAAGCTCAACTTAACATTCCTCAGTACTGTGGAGGCTTAAAATGTGGAATAAAATGTTTAATTACTAATAACATTTGAAAATTGTTGCCTTATGATTTTATAGACTTTTCCGTTGTACAGGTTTTGAAACACAATCTCTTTTTACGCATGAATTCAGAGATTTAAACTCACTTCATCACACAAGTTTCCAATAGGGACATTTGTTTTTAAAAATCAAGGGTTTACTTGCTAAATAGTGAATGCACTCAACTAGATCAAACATACATGTAAATTTAATTGACAATAGAACTTCTGCAGCTTCTTCTAGAGTTGGCTGAGCTCTTGCTGAATCTCAAGGTAGTTAGTAAATAATGGATTTCACCTAACAGCAGTTAATAATTTAAATAAAACATTCTGCATTACATCTGAATACTTTAGGAGGGAAGAAAATAAACCCCAACATTCAGAGCACTGTGAATATATATACAGAGTTTCTAAGAATTTACCGACAAACGTAACAAAAGCCAAGCTACATTTAACAGACAACTAGAAATCTGTTCATAGTCAGAACTTTGGGGCACAGCCAGCATTTACAGTACAAGCTGCAACTGATCCATGCACACCATATTCTGCACAACATTTAAACAGTTGCATGGTTGGATTGAGAAGTTTGAGAAATTATTTCTTCAAAGGTTTTGGGGCTGTCCCTGTTCCTCGTGTTTTATTTTACTTTTTATTCCGTTATATTCAAAACCACGTGGGAGAGCTTGGGTATTGGTTTGGACGCGTATCATCCATTTATGATGAAATCCAAAGGAAATAGTTATCTCTTTAAAAAAGAGAATCTATCCTCACTTGTCTGATACTGGTTCATTGAAGGAGTGAAATCAGGTTATCCTACCGCTGATGGTGACTGGATGACTTTGCCAACAGTGGACTACAACCAAAATTGGAGACGATATATTTGGCGTCCTCATAGGTCTTCAGCTTTTCTTTCAGTTGTGTGACCTGGGGATAAATAAGATTCCAAAGGAGTCAGTCATTGTCCATTTCACCAAGTTAGGCTGTAGCTAATCATGCAGGAATTTATTACTACACAGGAGCTGTAGGCCATGCTCTAAACAGAATTCCACAGAAGCCAGCCACACACAACCCCTCCCTCTGCTATTCAATTAGGCACACCCAAGACTGAGGTTTCTGAGACTCAAAAGGATATAATAAATAACAGCAGCGCTGATGAGTGGATGAATTTGATGATTGGACATAACTTTAACGCTGAACATAATGAAATTGAAAGAATATTTGCAATGTGTTTGGCCTAATAATAGTACAGAAAAAACACTACAGCAGAGATAACAAGGTGTAGAGCAGGATGAACACAGCAGGCC